GATTGGTACATTTCTCTGTTGACATGAAAATCAACCCTCATGGTAGATTGTTCTCTCAGCTTCCACTTAGAAGATAGACTTATAACACGTGTCACTTACTTTCTTTTTTGTTAAAGGCTGTCAATGTTAATGTTCGTGATTAATCTGGGAATCCCTAATGTGTAAAAGTAGCATAAGAGAGCGAGATAGTGGACAGCGTCACCACTGTAGGAACAGATATGCTGTATGATAGCAGCAGAGATAATTTACCCCGCGTAGCGCACATTAAACAGAGGCTCTCACTGACAGCGGCTTTGTCGGTGCTTCAGCTAAGGTTACATTGTCACAAATCATGCCAGTAAATCAGCAATCATGTTATAATAAAGTAAAACATATTCTGATTTCTCTTTACAGTTTGTCAGGCATTTCTTATGGAAATGTTTTGCGCTGTTGTATCACATTTGCACCCGTCGGCCACCGTACGGATTACATTTTTTAAATGATTGACATCACTAGCTTAGTTTATTTGTAAGCCTGCATGGTAAAGTTATCTTAAAAATGGTGACGTATCTGCACAGCTTGGTAAAGTTAACACGAAATATGATAAAAATAAGACACGGCTCTGAACCATGAGGGACTACTTTTCCTGTTTCTAGAGGAGGTGAGCATGGTGTGTGTTGACAGACTAAGTGTAGTGCCTTTTATGCTGCTGTAACAAAAACAATTTCCCAATTTGGGATCAATAAAGTACGATCTATCTATCTATCTATCTAGGTAAATGTACAGGACACACAAAAGGAACACATTTTGTATTACTCCAAGATCTGTTTTCTCACTTTGGACATTTCTGGGTACAGTATGCAACCAAGAAATAGACATTTCTAAAGTGGAAGCATTGAATTATGGGGACACACAATTTAACAGTTGAGAGAAAAGGTCTGAACGCAAAGATTTGCTGTATTCACACACAAACTTTAAGCAGTCAAAAGTTGTTTTTTGCACTTCAAACCTTTAAAAGATAGAAAAACCTGAAGCAATTCATGTTTGTAACTGAATGGGCACAATACAAACTTTAACTGTACCAAATAAAATTGAAGGTTGAAGCTTGCTCCATTTAATACAACATGTGTCATCAGAGTGAACAGAAGTGCTTTTGTCCTGACAACTTTCTAAAAATAACACTTTTTTATACTTTAATAAGACTTTTTAACTTGCTGGTTTGTCCATATAAACCCAACAGCCGTAATCCTTTGTGTCCTGAATATTCACATTTCTCTTAGACCTATTCTTTGCACAGTTTTGAAATGAACCAGATCTCAAAATGTTAGGGTCTTTCATTTAATGAGGCCCATTACAGAGAAATGTATTTTGTCTGCATCCTGTTGGATAAAGCGGGTCTTTTCTGTGTGTGGAGCGCTCTGAGTCTGGAGGAAATGGTTGTATAGACGTTTATATTGGCCGGTGAGTTGGTCTGTGTAGGAAGGAGCCTGTTAACCGACAGCTCTGACGTCTCCAAGTCTTGATTAAAAGGTCACCGTCATGTTGCTGCATTGATGCCTGAATGATATACGTTATTATAATCAGTGTTGGAAGAAGTACTCAGATCCTTTACTCTACTCTACAAGTACTATAGTGTTCAAATACTCAATTAGAAGTGAAAGTCGTGGTTTTAAAATTGTACTCAAGTGCAAAAGTATTAGCTTCAAAATCGACGAAGTACAAAACAACACATTTTGCACGATGGCCCATTTCAGAATAATATAAAAGGTATTATCAGCGAAATGTACTTCAAGTATCAACATTAAAAGTATTGGATTTACAGAATGGATCTTTTCACAGTACATTATTATGGTGATTATATTATCCTGTTTTTATAACTAACTACAATTGATGTAAGAGTATTTTAATGTTGAGGTTTGTCTAGCATCAAATGGAAATACCTAATTACAGTACAAATATGTCAAAAAAAGTTATTTATTAATACATTTTGTGTTTGTTTTATGAATTGAATCACTGTAAAGATTGAACTGTGAAGTGTGCAATCTGTAATATAACTTCTACGTGACTCCAAAGAATAATACAATACAAATTATGAAATAAAATGTAAAAAAATAACAAATAAATTAATACAATTAAATAGGACTAAATGGATGTCTTCAAGTAAAGTACACATCTCTCACAAAGTACAATCTTCCAGTAAATGTACGTTATTAGTTTCCCCCACTGATAATAATGTACAGAGCAGAGAAAATAGACTGCGGAGGGTCTACTTTATTTGGGGTTGGACCCTGAAGGGAGGGCTGGTGTTGGTGTGAAGCTTTATTTATACAGTCTGCAGTGTGAAGGGCTATGAATAGGACGAATGGAGAGGAAGAGGAGGAGGGAGTACAACTGAACAGGGCTGACTGACAGCTCTATCGTCTGACGAAGGAAAGAAGGATGAAGAAAACGGGAAGAGAGAGGGAACGCCGGGAGGGGGGGGGGGCGAGGAGGTTTCCAAAGTTGATTGCTCCGGGAGGAGACAGTAAACGGTTGCGGGTCAGCTGGAGGCAGGCCGGAGAGTTGTAACTGTGGTAATGAGCTCAATACGCTGTGGATATAAAAAAGCAACAGAAACTGTGATGTTTGGAGCGTTCCCCCGGCAACAGGGGAGAGACGCAAACGCCAAGAAGAGCGGAGACCAGGCGGAACAAAAGAGTCGGGTGTCTCTTAAATTTCGAAATATACATTCAGCAGCAAAATCGGGCTCAATGAAAGCAACAGTGTGTTAAACATACACAGAGGGGATTTGTTACTGTGGGGGGGGGGAAGTCAACAGCGCTCCTGTTTTGTTATTTATTTGAGGTGAATCTCTCATTTATTCGCACTTCATTGTGTTTCATTAATTCTGTTAATTTATTTCAGTCCTTGATTTGTCACCTTCCCTGCTTTTAGATCAAGTGCTCCTACTTTTGCTCCAACTCAGACCAGTTTTTAATATTAATCTGTGGTTGGATTTACTGTCTTTAAACCATTAAGTTGAATATTCATATTTTTCCTTAAAAGTCGGCTTCTTTTTTACGCTTTTTGGGGTTTCCCTGTCCTGTAGTGTGTTACATACTGTAGGTTTTAGTGCATGTAAATGGTCTGCAAAGGATAAAATCCCAAAGTCTCCTCCAGAGGCAGTTTCTCTCCCACACCACTATGTAACCCTCGTGCTTCTATTGGCTAGCGCTCCAACACATTGTACGTGATAGGCTAAGGAGCGGGACCTCTCTAAGCGAATGACCAATCACAACAGATCTGGCCAGCTAACCAATCAGAGCAGACTGGGCTCTGGTTTTAGACAGAGGGTGAAAAGAGGTGCTGCAGCACAGGCAGTATGAGAAAAATAAAGAGCTTTTTGAACATTAAAGCATGGAGACATGTCCCAGTAGAGACACTACATACACATATGAACCTCAGAATGAGCTTAATAGGGCCACTTATTGTAATATTCTGATCATCAGGACTCTAAAACCTCTGAGATTGACTCTTCTGAACCACATCATTTATTTTTGATGAACACAAAAGCATTATAGAAGCAAATTCAATTGTAAGCATGATATAAATGAAGCCTCATGAAAGGAAAAATCAAGTCTATAAAGTTGCTCCAAAAGGCAGCAGTCCAGCATCAAACCAGCAAGCGCACAAGCCAAACCTATTTCAATCTTGACTAAACAAAACAAAGACAGCTCCTTATTGCATTTGCCACAAGAGCTTTCAAGTCAAACCAAAAGTAGACCAACTTCAGGGCATATTTGCACATTTTGACCCACGTCTGCTGTTAATCTGTGTTTTGGATCAGCGTACCTCTATTGATGCTCTCCTGGTGCATTTTCCAAAACAGTGCATTCGTTTTCCATCCGTCTCCTCCCGTGTACCATGAGCATTCATATGTCTATAACTACTTCTGATGTTTATCAATGATGCTCTGTACTGCATCTGATGGAGCGAAGCATCTCTTTGAGAACTTAAAGGTGGGGTAGGTAAGTTTGAGAAACCGGCTCGAGATACACTTTTTGTTATATTCCATGGAATGCTCTTAACATCCCGATAGCAATGAATATCTTAAGTGCTTTGACAAAAAATCCATAAAGAAATGTCATCTGTGGAAGCCGTAGTACTGTAAAAAGTACGACCAATCATTTTAGCCGGCCCGGTTAAAATAACTGGATGGCCTACCTGCCTGTCAGCCTTCCATCTGTGCACAAACTTATCTCGTGCCCTCATTGGTCATGTGCGCGTTCGTGTGTGTTGGAGGAGGGGCTCTGGAAGGAAGAGGCAGATTTTTTCCGGCTGTGTATTTTCAAATTCTAGCGCACTCGAGCCGGTTTCTCAAACTAACCTAGCCCACCTTTAAATCACCAGACTCTTTCAAAAAATGTAAAAAGCCATGACCGCTTTCTTTCTATTGTTTAGCACTACAAGCTTAAAAAGGACTTCTCGTTGGACCCAACCTTTTTCTCATCCTCCTATTTACCAGGAAGATTAGTACGTCTCTCACTACTTCTCATGTTTATAAATGATGCTCTGATCGTGCTACAAGTCCAACCAACTCTTTAAGGAAATATAAATCCAATCTACGGTCACTTTAAATTTGAATCGCCAGAATTATACTTCCTAAAACAATGACCACTTTCCCCGAGCCTATTGTTCGGCAACACTAAAAAATAACTTCTCGTTGGACCCGAGCCTTTATTCTCGTCTCTGGTCTAGTTTTCCACTTCTGCTCTTTTTATTTCACTCCCTCCATCTCCCTCTGTCTTTCCCTCTTTTCTTTAGTCCTTTGTTAGGCGGTTGCTTCCTGCGGTGAGCATGGCACTGCCCAGGCACATGTTCTGTGGTGGGCCTGATTACAGCCCTGCCGTAGTGCTGACATTGGCCCGCGCCTACTCCTCATCTATAAACACACACACACACACACACACACACACACACACACACACACACACACACACACACACACACACACACACACACACACACACACACACACACACACACACACGTACACACACACACACACACACACACACACACACACACACGTACACACACGTACACACACGCCGGCCCCTAAGTTCCACCAACTCTGCCAGCGGCTACCGCGGCATGACTTCACCCGGCAACCATTTCTTGCGTCAAACAAAATGCCTCTGTCACCAGAAAAAGGAGGAGATGGAGGAGGAGGAGGAGGAGGAGGAGGAGGAGGAGGAGGAGAGGTGGAGTGTAGATGTGCGGTAGCTGTGCGGAGGGTTTGAATGTTTTCCACCACAGTTTGGGAGCGTGGTGGAGGTAATTTTAGCTGGAAGGGCCCAAAGGCAGGGCGCTTGTAGAAGTCTTTTTGTCTCAGAAGTGGAGTGGCAGGCAGAAGGGGGGGGATCTGAGAGAGTGGAGGATGGTGGTGATGATGATGATGATGATGGTGGGAGGTTGGGAAAGATGCTGTTGGTTAGCTGGACCCTTAAGGGCTCTACTGTTAGGTTATCGCATGATTAAGAACATGACTCATATTCTCAGATACTGCAAAAAAAAGACAGATACATCAAAAAGAAACTTCCCATTTTGGTTGGACTTTCCTTCATTCCAACTTATTTAAAAAGATGCCAGTCAAACACAGAGACTTCATCCAGACAATAAGAATTCAACATTTCATATCATCTTTTTCACAGATGCGTCGTGTTTTAAAAACTGCGGTTAATAAAGCGGTCCTAAGCTCTTTTGGGTTTAGGTGTTTTTTTTATCTTGTAATCATTCTTTGTAATACATTAACTTAAAGGTGGGGTAGGTATGTTTGAGAAACCGGCTCGAGATACACTTTTTGTTATATTCCATGGAATGCTCTTAACATCCCGATAGCAATGAATATCTTAAGTGCTTTGACAAAAAATCCATAAAAACATTTCATCTGTGGAAGCCGTGGCGCTGTAAAAAGCACGACCAATCATCTGAGCCGGCCCTGCTAAAATAACTGGATGGCCTACCTGCCTGTCAGCCTTCCATCTGTGCACAAACTTATCTCGTGCCCTCATTGGTCATGTGTGCATTCATGTGTGTTGGAGGAGGGGCTCTGTAAGGAAGTGGCAGATTTTCTCCGGTTGTGTATTTTCAAATTCTAGCACACTCGAGCCGGTTTCTCAAACTTACTTACCTACCCTACCTTTAAGAGGAAAGGATTCAAATTCCAGATATTTTAGTCATATATATTATAAATACTTTCTTTCCAGTGTGTGGGCCTCTATTCTAAAGTTTCAGATACCTATTGGCGTGTCCCATTTCACAAATCTCCATTATGCCTTGATGATTGTCTTTTAAGCTGTTTGTGAACAAAATGACTGAATTAAATCAGCTATGCTTCAGTTGCATCATATTCACTTTCAGCTTATAACATGTTCTATTTATTTCTTGTGTTGCAGGAGCGTCTGCACTATGAGACGCTGAGCCAGCACCTGGGGAAGCTCGGGGAGGATGCTGGGAAAATGGTGCATCGGGTGATTGACCTGACGAGACCAGAAGATCTGGATGGTAAGCGTCTCCGTGATATTTTTACGACCTGTTTTTCTAGCATTATCTCATGATTAGTTGAATTAGGCTTGTGTCTCCTACTTTTCAGAGTCTTGCAAACCTCATTTTGAGTTCCTCCTAATCTTTAGGATTCATAAATGTAGGCAAATGCAGAAATACATCATCAAATGGAAAACTGGAGGGATGTATGAGGAAGGAGAATCTGGGTTTCTGAGAAGCAGGGTCTCAGTTAGAAGCGGTCACATCCTGTTCAGACTAAATTGATACCAGTGACCCTTAACTCCGCGGGGCCCCTCATAGAAAAGAGGCCCCGCTTCTAGTGTTCGGCCGTCTCAGAAATCCACAATACAGAAGAAGTGATCGTCAAGAGAACATGCAGGTATTCAGGGAACACAAATATTTATTGTGCTCCTCAGGAAGGACACCCTGAACAGCTAAACAGTGCGTGTTCAATGTCAACATTTTACGCTCTGGAAAAATGTTACACTGTTATTTTTTTCTTCCTGAAAGTACATGACAAGAGGTGGAATTCTTCTCCTTTTTTCCACACCGAGTGTTTGTGACATATCCCACCCAGTACAAGTATGCAAACAAACGCAGACGAAGACAAGCAAGGAGTGTTTAGTCAATAAAGTTAACAGCAAAAATAAATTCCCTTATTTTATTCTGTATTGCATGCTGTTAGCGGATATGACTTTATAAGGACCCTTATATGAATGAAGTCGAAGGACATGGTGTTAATTCTTTTTTATCCAAACCCACCTGTTGCTCATAAAGCCCCAGTGTTTACGGGGGATGAGGAGACTCATTGTGGTTTAGTTAAGAATCAGAGCACTAAACACACCAGCAAGGGCACTGAGATGCTATCAGGCGGAAGTAAATGTGTGTGTGTGTGTGTGTGTGTGTGTGTGTGTGTGTGTGTGTGTGGTGTGTGTGTGTGTGTGTGTGTGTGTGTGTGTGTGTGTGTGTGTGTGTGTGTGTGTGTGTGTGTGTGTGTGTGTGTGTGTGTGTGTGTGTGTGTGTGTGTGTGTGGGGCTCGAGACCCCCATCAGACTTGTGTTATACTTTTGTTATACATCCTCTCCCACGGAACAGGGGGTTAAGAAACAAACAGGAAGGGCTCATCCATAACAGAGCAATATCCTGCATTTCAAGTGTGAAAGTATGAAAGATAAATGTCTCAATGACGGGCATGTAGTAGGGTATTATTTAAATCCTCAATTAAAAGATCAAATCTGATTATTTTCTTGATTAATCCATTACTTTTATGCTCCATGAAATGTCAGAAAATAGTAAAAAAAAAATCCATCCCAGTTTGTCAAATCCCAGTTTGTCAGTCATTCGGTAAGCGTGAAAGTATGACAGATAAATGTCTAAATGATGGGAATTAAGTGAACCGCAGGGTCGCAAGAATCAGTTATTATCATTATCAAATAAATGGCTGGTTACTTCCTTGTATAATCTTTACATCCTATGGTCTTTAAAGAGTCTGAAAATGGTAAAAAAATGGTCCAACCAGGGTTCAAAATAATCAACAATGTAGTTCAATGTGGTTAAGAATGGAGGCAAGCAGGAAATATCCATATGTTCGGCCATCATTACAAGATAATTGGCTATTATGTTCTGTCAAACAACATATCGTTAACTCATTGTTTCGGCTGTAATATAGAGAATGTTTTTCCTTTGTGTCTCACAGTCAGTAACATCACGGAGGCGCGGGTGTTCAGGGAGGCTCGGGGCAGGAACACCGCAGAGCCGCACATCAAGAGGCCGATGAACGCCTTCATGGTGTGGGCCAAAGACGAGCGGAGGAAGATCCTGCAGACCTTCCCCGACATGCACAACTCCAACATCAGCAAGATCCTAGGTGAGAGATTATATATATATATATCATTATTTAACAGAAAGAGAGAGAGTGTTCAACCCAAAACCGTCAGCTCCTTATAGTCATGAACATAATCTAAATGTCGGATTGTCTTTATTTGTATGTCCTTGTGGGAGCATTTGGTTCACATTTAGTTAACGCAATTTACTTTTGGATTGATTTTCACGAGAAAATGTATTAACGCTTGAGGTAAATATTATATTAAGCAGAATACAAAATAATACACCTCACAGACACACAACGCATCAACGATGAACTCTTTGTGGTTGTGAGAGTACATTTCCCTTTCTTATTCAAACACACATTTGTAATTTGCCTCGTTGATGTCCCTCTAACCTGCAGATTTCAGGTCTTTCTCTCCGCTCATGAGGTCCCTCTACATCCTACAGTTCACAGGGTCTATTAGCTGCAGGCTGCGCACTATAAGAAGGCCCAGTGTGCTTTTTAAACGTGGAACACTTCACACACAGAGCTCCACTGTGTCGGCCTGACTAGTGTGATGGATGCATTCAGTTATAAAGTAGCCGTGTTGATACTAACCTCCTGGACACAGATAGCCATTCACACGGGGCTGAGCACAGCGGTTGTTCTGAAATGTCCTGAAGACCTCCACTGTCCTGAGCCGGGCTTTAGTGAGCGCTGAATGTAAATGTTCCTCCTGAGAAACACTAACAAACGGACTTGTATTAGGTGGCTCTGTGTGTTCCTCCATCAATGGGCTCTGATAAAAGGGGCTTTTTCAGTTTCATCCAATGCTTCTTGATTTGTGATGGGATGTAAAGTAACTTAGCACCTTTACGTTAAGTTCTATACTTAAGTACATTTTTGAGGGACTTGTACCTAACTTATACCCACAACAATTCAAAGGTAAACAGTACACATATCCATTGCATTGATTTAATACCTTTAGTTACTTTGCAGATCTGGATCGATGATGTGAAATATAATCAACTCTTAAATCAGACTTTAGTTCCACCTGGAGTAAATTCACAAGCTACCCTACACGACAGTATACAAAGTCATTCAAACTAGCTGCACCTTATCTTTGATAACACTTTAATGATCAATCATTATAATCAAAACATATCATATAATAATGAAAATGGCCTTGTGTAACATTTCGAATGCAGACTTTTAGTTGTAACAGAGTACTCTCTGGTTCTTCTACTTGTACCTAAAACCTGAGTACTTCTTCCACCTCTGATTATTAGTATAGAAATATCAAAATGTAGGTCTGATATGTAAGGGATAATTGATATGACCGACCATAGTCCCTTGATCTTCCTTAGCAACAGTCTGTTCTCTTTAGCAACAGCCGGTTAGCAAGAATTAACAACCTCTTGAATGTCAGAATTGATGGTTGATTGATCAGAATTGAGTATATTCAACTAAGCCATGTACTCTATGTAGAATCTTCATGGTTTAATTATTTGATTTAGGACATTTGAGGTCAAATATGAATAGGCAGTTTGCAGGAAGCCTTCAGAAAGCATTTTCACGTCATTCCTGAGCCTGTGTGGCAGTATAAGGACAAAAAGCAGAACTTAAAGTGCACAATTGTGTATGTATATATAACTGCTTGTGTACAATGCATGTTTCTCCAACGTAATAACACAGCTGGACTTTAGAGAGTGGGTGGAAGGCTTCAAAAAAAGAAAAACTCCTCTCTGTTTCCTGTGTCACAAAAGTACAGGACTATTTTGTGATAAACCTTGATAAACAGAGGAGTGAGGCGGGGTGTGTATAATCGGTTGTCAGATTGCTTCGCAGATGTGCTGCGTTCCTGGGGTAATGGCCCTGTCCACTTGTTCAGAAGGTCCTCTTACCGGGGAAAATGAGAAGTACACAACGTATCATTCTTCTCGAGCCAAGAGGGAGCAGAGTGTAATCCACTCCTGATTTTAAACAGACTCGATGGTGTCTGTTCACATGACAACATCCGAGCTTACAAAGATAAAACACCAGAAATGCTGATGCTTTTATGAACACACCAAGGCTCTGAGACGGTTTGAAGTGTTGGTTTCATGAGTGACATTATGTTAGCGTCGTGTGATCACTCATGCAGTGCTCATTACATCTATTTGACCACAAACTCTGTGCTCAACCGGTATCAGTGTTTAACGAGTTTAGAAAAGCACCTCAAAAACATTTTTTCACTTAAGTCCTCATCATTCCTGAAATGTGGATTTCCCTAATAATAATACTCAAAAATGAAATGCCTTTGAGATGCCAGATAGTGAATCGGACAATATATCTTATGAATCCAATATGCGGAATATAGTTTGTGCAGGTAATTCTCTTTCCCACGTAAAAAAGTCAAATTAAAGGCACACATTTTATTCTAACCTGGCTATTAAATGTATCCCTGAGTACGATTTGCTAACTTGTGCCTGAGGGTCAGTTTGCCTGAGAATGGGTATTTTTCCTAAAATAATGAGTTACATGACATATAAAACATTCAAATGTCATTCATTAGGTAATTAAAGGTGGGGTAGGTCATTTTGGAGAAACCGGCTCGAGTGCGCTAGAATTTGAAAATACACAGCCGGAAAAAATCTGCCACTTCCTTACAGAGCCCCTCCTCCAACACACACGAACGCGCACATGACCAATGAGGGCACGAGATAAGTTTGTGCACAGATGGAAGGCTGACAGGCAGGTAGGCCATCCAGTTATATTAGCCGGGCCGGCTCAGATGATTGGTCGTGCTTTTTACAGTACTACGGCTTCCACAGATGACATTTTTTTATGGATTTTTTGTCAAAGTACTTAAGATATTCATTGCTATCGGGATGTTAAGAGCATTCCATGGAATATAACAAAAAGTGTATCTCGAGCCGGTTTCTGAAACTTACCTACCCCACCTTTAAGGGGGAATTTAATCACATCCATTTAATTTGATTCCATAGCGATTTCTATAAGGTCCCAGTGTGGTCCAGTGTGGATATAAAATAAGAAAATAGGTTAGTGAGGTCAACTCCAGGGTTTATGGACCATCCATAATAAAGTTTTTTTGGTTATCTGCTACTCATAAGGTAAGGATGAACCAAATCAAAACTTCGAATCAGACTAAGTTAAAACCTCCATCTTTTTCTGTATAGGCTCTCGCTGGAAAGGCATGACCAACCAGGAGAAGCAGCCGTACTACGAGGAGCAGGCCCGCCTGAGTAAGATCCATCTGGAGAAATATCCCAACTACAAGTACAAGCCGCGGCCGAAGAGGACCTGCATCATCGACGGGAAGAAGCTGCGCATCGGAGAGTACAAGCAGATGATGAGGTCACGGCGCCAGGAGATGAGGCAGTTCTTCGTGGGGTGAGTCCAAAGAAATGTCTCTATGAACTTCACAGATTAGGAACACATTTTGACTGCATGGTGCCTTACTCTATGTGCAGTTTGCAATGAATGTCCTTATGTTACAGCTTTTTGTAGAAGCAAGGTCAAATTCCCAGAGAAATAGCTCGGCCCAAAAATGTTTCTCATTCACTGCATCGAATACGAAGAAAGCAGACTTCTAAAAGAGGTCATTGTTCACGAGCCTCGGATCACACAGGCTTTGTGTCTCCTGCTCAAGAACACTTTGACTAATGTACTGCTGCACCTGTGACCTCTCAGTTCACTTGTTTCTTTTTTAATAAACATGCCATCCTGCTAGGTGAATATGGACATTTAGGCATGAATAATTAGCTAAACAAAACATGAAGCACCAAATGTCAATCATGAAGGAATTTGAGGGGGATTTCAATCACATACATTGTTTAAAAGAGACTATTTATTTATTTCTATGGGCTGTTTTGACCAAGTATGATTATAAAATACATTTCCCTTAATACAGGTATTTGCTTAGATGTTTGCGTGGTGACCATCAGGGTTTATGGACCATTCATGAAACCATTTGCCTCGTGTCATGCTCTAAAATGATTATATCTGTAAAACCCTTTAAGCACTCGCTGCAGAGCATTATATTTCTGAGTGAGAGGGGAAAAACAGTGGCATTGTCTTAATAGGAACCAGCCATGGATGTGTTTAAAGCCATCACAGCGGCCTGTGCTTCAGATGGATTTACCAGAGGCCACGGCTTTGAATAGGAGCGATTTTTAATAGCTTGTCATTTATTAAATTAGGACAATGCTGGGCGCTTGCGGGCAGTGAAATTGGACACAGACAGACATGGTGGAATATGAAATGTAAGCAGATGTTTGAGAGAGAGGCAGACGTCACGGGCTCAATGCCACATTTTACTGTGTGTGGTCAAGAAAATGCAAAAAAGCTCACGATTCTCCAGGCCTGCTCTTTCAATCAAAGCTAAATCAAAAAGCGTGCGAGAGCCAGTACACAAGCAGTTTTCTGGCACATTCCACATCACTAAATCAGTGTTGTTTTAAAGCGTTTAAAGTGAGAATTAGTCTGTCAGAGCGTTAGGCAGTAATTGTTTCAGGAGACAGAGGAGGGAAAACTGTGAGGTGAGAAACGTGACGGTAATTTTCCTGCTTTATGTGGCTCATTTGAGGAGCCAGAGGGTCTGTTTGAGTGATGTGCGTTTACCTCCATTCCAGCTTCATCTTAACAGGTTATTTAGCTACTGTGAGCTGGCAGGGCGCTCCTGTTAGGACATGCCCGACAGAAGAGAGGAGAGCTGCTCTAAGTGGCCTCAGAGCTAATGTTTTGTTCAAAGCAGTTTGTTTAAAGGAGCATATAATGAATCAGCATCTGATCAAACAAAGAGCTCTCCACGTTGTTCAGTAGCTCCTTGATTACCAAATCATTTCAAAAGTTTCATAAATATTTCTACGCAGTCTGTTTCTTTATCGTCCAACCATGTCTGTTGGTAAGTGCTCCACATTTCAGTATCTCAACAACTATAAGATGGGTAGCTGTGACATGTTGGTCCCACGCTCCAAGTAGGTGATAGGCTAAGGGGCTTGGTTGACAAATCACAACAGAGCCGGCCAGCTAACCAATCAGAGCAGACTGGGCTCTGGTTTCAGACAGAGGGTGAAAAGAGGTGCTGCAGCACAGGCAGTATGAGGAAAATAAAGAGCTTTTTGAACATTAAAGCATGGAGACATGTCACAGTAGAGACACTACATACACATATGAACCTCAGAATGAGCTTAATAGGGCCACTTATTGTAATATTCTGATCATCAGGACTGTAAAACCTCTGAGATTGACTCTTCTGAACCACATCATCTCTTTTCGATGAAGACAAAAGCATTATAGAAGCAAATCCAATTGTAAGCATGATGTAAATGAAGCCTCATGAAAGGAAAAATCAAGTCTATAAAGTTGCTCCAAAAGGCAGCAGTCCAGCATCAAACCAGCAAGCGCACAAGCCAAACCTATTTCAATCTTGACTAAACAAAACAAAGACAGCTCCTTATTGCATTTGCCACAAGAGCTTTCAAGTCAAACCAAAAGTAGACCAACTTCAGGGCATATTTGCACATTAAAGCATGGAGACATGTCACAGTAGAGACACTAAATACTAATATGAAACCTTAAAATAGGCTTTAAAGGGCCCCTTTAAGTAAATGATCTGAGTACTTCCTCCAGCTCTGGTCATATGTATCAATGTTGTTATTGTTAACCTATGTTTAACACTTTCCTCCCTTGTTTCTCAGGCCTCAGCCCCCCATGGCTCTCAGCAGCAGCAGCCCCGGAGGAGTAGGAGTGTACCCGGGCGCCATCACCATGGCAACAACAGCTACCCCGTCCCCCCACCTGACCTCAGACTGCTCCAGCAACTCCGCCAGCCCCGAGCCCGCCATCCCCGTCATCCAGAGCACGTACGGGATGAAGCCCGAGCCGGCGGGGGGCGGCAGGGGGCGAGCCTTAAATCGGCCTAGCAACCGGGCCAACGGACAGGAGGACATGGACATGTACGCGGACTTTGAGGACGAGCATAAGTCAGACTATAGCAGCGACCACGAGACACGGGAGGCCGTCAGCGCCAACTGAACTCGGGTTGTAAAAAGAGGAAGATAAATAATGAAAAAACTCCCATTATACTCAGAGACACTTTTAAAAAGAAAAAAACACAGTTTATTATAGAGACCTTCAGGCGGACTTTCAGGACGAACATGCTCAGAAAAAGGAAAGTATCTGTGATGGACATTCGAGGACGAGGACTGATGGGACATTCAGAACTGAAGATGAACTTCCTACACTTTGACAATCTCAACAGGACGGATAAGATAAGAGTTAGAAGAAAGAAAGACAGACAGAGAATGAGACAGAACGGGACAAATGAGCGACGAACACATTGCCGTGTGGTTTGTAAAGAGCATGCATGGATTTTGAAGCTTCAGGAATTGGTCTTCAACAGCTATTTGGTCTTAAATGTTTAAGGAGTGGTTTAGTTTTTATCTTTCTGTATTTACTTTTTTTGTGCTTTTGTTCGATAGACTTTTTTTCTGACAGGTCGCTGCCTGTACAAACTCTGGACTGTCGGAACTTGAAATTTGAAAAGTTTTAATATAAATCCTAGCTATTGTAATCTTATAGTCTTACTTTTGTTTCTTACATGACAGTGCATCTACACATTGTTTTTCTGACAAACTGCTTACATTACATTACTGTTAGTTTTTCCTTTTTATATCCCAGCTCAGGTATGATGTGCCAGCTTGTGAATGTGTTGGTTTTTTCGTTTTCTTACAAAAAGAGTGGTAGGATTTTCAGACTGTCTATGAAATAAAGGGAGCAAAATCCCTTATAATATCACAATATTATTATTATTATTATTATTATTATTATTATTATTAGACTAAGTAGGTACCCAGGCATTGTACAGATTTACTTCAAATGTGCCAAATCTACATTCACATTCACTCGGGATGTTCTAGTCTTAACTTCAAATGCTGCAAAAAAGTCTTACACAATCATCCTTTTCTATCTGATGACATGAGGAGGGGATCATTACGCTGGCCTAGAAAAACACACACACACACACACACACACACACACACACACACACACGCTTCAATCTCTAGCAGCCCATCGAGCTTTTAGACGTAGAAGAGTCTGTTCTTTAGTTCTGCTGCATCGGTGCTTTCATGAACAACATTTCCCTTAGTCCCTTGAGGCCAAACACTTAGCACATTGTCCAGTATTTACCAGTATGGTGCAATTGAACACCAACATTTAGCATTTGAGTCCTTCCCTTTCAATCTGGCCAAAGGTACGGACTTTTTTTGGCTTAATTTCTGCTCAGACACTTTATTATGAGTCTTAAAAGTGTACCTATAGTTCTCGTTAAGGGGCCCGATTATGCTTTTTCTGGGAGTTATATTGTTTTGTGTGCATGTAAATGGTCTGCAAAGGCTCAAATCCCAAAGTTTCTCTCCCACACTCGCCTCCATTGGACACATTTGTGACATCACTATGTAACAATCCCACTTCTATTGGCTAGCGCTCCAATACATTGTTAGGCTAAGGGGCGGGACATTTCTATTAGAAGTTGACCAATCAAAACAGAGCCAACCAGCTAACCAATCAGAGCAGACTGGGCCTAAGCATGTAAACATGTCACAGTAGAGACACAAAATACAAATGTCAACCTGAAGATGAGCATAATAGGACCCCTTTAAGCGTCATATAAAAGGGGATGAGCAGCCCCAGTTTTACTCTACTGTACGATAAGAGTTTATAATATTCTGGATCCCTTCACTGTATTTTGAAATTGTGTTTTGAATCGGTACAAAAAGTGTACGAAATGTTACTATTTTTTAATATCCTTTGTTAATATTTGTACATGTCTTCTCAGCATCACGTGGGAAAGATACACCAAACATTTGAATTGATATAGTTGCAAAACAAGAGGTCTATTATTTGAAAAGGGTTCTGTGTTTATACATGGCATGTATATTTGGAAAATGGCTAATGGAGGAAAACAGGTGATCAGCTTTTGAGTAAAACACCATTCAGAGGAACGTTCTTCCAAATGTTCCTCTGGTCAGTACCATGCTGTGTGTGCACGTCTTTTCCTCTATCTTACTCAAAAGTCACTCTTTCTCAGAAGACACTAATTTTATTTTGTCTTTTTCCAAAACACACTCTGAATTTTGAACATTTCAACACCTGTGTCCTCGGGTGGTTTCTGGGTGCACTGTTTATTTTACATGTCATCTTTTCTGAACATATTTCTACTTGGAAAAGCTTCACAAGCTGGGACTGAACATTGGTTTCTGTTTGCATCACAGTAAAAAAAAAAAAAAAGGTCTCATGCATAGACATTTCTATTATTGTCATACGCATCCTAAGCACTGGATATAAATGCTATGTTTTTGTTTTCTTTTAGTATTGACTAATGTGAAGTTGTTGTTTGATTTTCACCATGATAATTAGAACCGTCTATAGGAAGCCTCACACATGCCAGGCACCAGTACAATTGCCATTTCTTTAGAAGCATTTCATTTATTGACGCTGGTTTTGTTTCCGCAGCTCTGAAAGGGGTCACATGGCCTCTGATCTCTTTCCTTTTTCTTTTTTAAACCTCATGCTCTTGTCAGTTGTGACCTGCCGAAGCAGAACACAAGTTTCCTGGTCGATTTCATTTTGTGATGAGTATTGTATTTGAAATTCAATTGTGCGTTTTAACATTTCATTGTATTTATTAGCCAGCTTTGGCTCTAAAAAACGTGTCAGTACAACTTGGTGAGAAAGACAATCAAAAAAAAATAAAAAATAAAAAGTAAAGACTTGAGATTTTCCTTACAAACCTGTCATTTCATCATTTCAAGGAAAAGTACTAGACTTATACCTGTGTGTGTGTGTGTGTGTGTGTGTGTGTGTGTGTGTGTGTGTGTGTGTGTGTGTGTGTGTGTGTGTGTGTGTGTGTGTGTGTGTGTGTGTGTGTGTGTGTGTGTGTGTGTGTGTGTGTGTGTGTGAGGCAACGCCACACATTCTGACTGCACTGTGGTGTATACGGCGCCGGTGCTCCATGCAGCCAATCCCAGCGTTCACAGAGAGGAACTCAGCCATATGCAGCCACATCATAAATCTAATTGTAATTCCCAAATCAACTGTAGCGTCACCCTGCGAGGGGCGCCGGCAAGTTTGTCACACGCTCCTTTGTGTGCACTTGTGTGTGTGCTTTTAGCTGGGAGTGGTGTTTGAAATCATACTTGTGCTGTTGCCATGCTAATCTCGTTAAATAAGTCATCATAATTTACATTTCCTTTTTTCCTTTCTGAACATTTTGCTGTTTTGCAAGTTGACAGATTGTTTCTGTGTGTGCATGTAAAGCTTTCAGCACCTTAACCTAGGATAGCGGCGTTTATTACAGTGCAGTCATACTTTCTTTAAACATACACTCATATTTATATATACTGAATTAATTGATCCCAGGAGGAAGTTGACATAACCCACACTTTTCCATTCAGTTAACATGAGTTGTTAAGGCTACAAGAAGATAGCACTGCTAAGGAGATAGCACCCCCAAAAAAAAAGAAAATTGGTATATAATTGTAAAAATGTACGTGCATGTATTATGGGAGCTTGGTGGTGCTTCCTACATCTGAATACTACTCACAAAAAAATAAATGAGAGGCTATTTTTTAGGGTAATTCAATTGATAAACGTGTACTTATACTAGCATTATCTTGTCTTTTATGTTGTATCTCAAAAATATCATGAAAAAAGAAAAAGTTTAGTGTGTCAAAACATATGAAAGAAGTTATAATGAAGTATGTCAAAAAGTTTCATTATTGTATGTCCCAAATATAATGAAAAATGTCATAGTGTAGTATGTTTAAAAAATTAGAAGAGTCAAAATATAAAACTGTCATAGTCATAGTACACCATGTAGAATATATCATGAAAAATGTTAGCATAGTATGTCGGAAAAAAAATATCATGAGAGAAGTTTTAGCATAGTATGTTAACAAATATAAAAAAAAAAAGGTCATAGTCTATTATGTTGAAAAAAGTCATATTTTGGTATGTCAAAAATATTACAAAAAGTAGTTGTATAATATGTCGAAAAAAGTTGTGATAAAGTATGTTGAAAAAAGTCTCCTTATTGTATGTCATAATATCATGTCAAAGGAATTTATGGTTTAGTGTGTCGGAAAAAGTCTCAATATACTATGTCAAAAAATATCATGGAAAAGTCATATTAGAGTATTTCAGAATCAGAATCAGGTTTTTTGCCAAGTATGTTAACGCATCCAAGGAATGTGTCTTGGTGTCCTTGGTGATAAACACAGTTAAAGAAGATTCAAAGTAAGAAAAAACAACCAATGTCAAAACTATGCTGAAATAAGTCATACTATAGTGTGTCGAAAAATAAGGTCAAAGTATAGTCATAGTACAGTATAGTATGTTGGGATAATAGTATGACAAAAATATCAGAGTATAGTATGCCTAACATTTCCTGAAAAAAGTCCTGGTTCAGTATGTCAACAAAAAGTCACATACATACATTTTTTTATAGGATAGTTTTTTAAACAAGTCCTATATAGGGTGTTTCTCAATGTCAAGGACGCTTCCTTGATAGGACAAGTCCCTCCGAGTCAGGTCCTTCAGAAGCGAGGCAAGAACCCTTCCTAGCCTCGGAAAACGAAGAATGGTGGAACAGGCTAACAGGTGTGCAGGTGTGCGTCATATGCGAGGCCCCGCCTTAAATGGAGCGCGATTTCCGCCAAAGATTTGGGGAAATTGGTCCGTGCGCAAAGCATTGTGGGGATTTTAAGACCGCGGAGTGTACACATGTCCAGCCTCGAAATTTCTCGCAACAAAGTACGCCAGCCTCGGTAAAGACAAAGACAAGAGTTCAAAGCAAGTGTTGTTCTCCAGTGAGGGAGGAACGTCTCAGGGATCACTCAAACTTCAGATACACCTCTCTTTTCTTGTGGGTTTGGTTGCATGATGGAGCATAATTACACACTTTCTTCATGAAAGGCTGGTCCCTCTCGGCAAAAAACATCTTTAAGAGAAGAGAGATCCTTTTATTTATTTGTTCTCCTCCCCGATCAGACCTTTTAGATGAAGATAATTACAAATGGTTATTACAAAGGAGGATCCCTCTTCAGACGTGTTGATCTGCTCTTCAATGAGGCATCAAAGCTCTCCTGTTTATGATCACAGAGGCTCCTCCACTCATTAAAAAACACAGGAGGGTCTCGGTCACGCAGCACGCTAACATCCCCTTTGATGCTTAATCATTAATTACTTTTGATTCAAGAGGCGAATAATTGACCCTGGCTCTCAAATGAAGTTGACCATGTTTCACAATCAGCGCTGTTTATGCAGGTAGAATGCCGTCTAGACGTCTGTGACATCCTGGAAGTATTCATATGCTGATAGCTTGGTTTCTCCTGAAAAGAAAGATGTATATAACTTAATTATGCCTTTCAGGGTTGAGGTTAGACACGTATTATTACACAAGAATACCAGGCGAACCAAACGTATTAAATAGGGCTTAGACCTCCGATGGTTAATAGCATGTTTTATTGACTTTCTGGTTATACACAACTGTTGCATAAGAAAAGACAAGATAAGATGTAAGCAAGATGTGTAGGGAGGCTGTGGCGCAGTGGATTAGTGCGTTGGTGTTCGGATCAGGGGGAGCACAGGTTCAAACCCCACTGCAGTCAGCATGTCGTTGTGTCCCTGGGCAAGACACGTCACCCCAAATTGCTCCTGTGGGGATTGTCCACAGTATTGAGTATGTAAGTCGCTTTGGATATAATATCTGTAATGTATTTTATTGATCCCAATTTGGGAAATGTTTGCGTTTCAGCAGCATAGAAAGACAAGGCATTGTACATTAGAGAAATTAAAAGACAAAAAATAAACAATTCAAAATGTAATGATGTCAAATAGAAATAAAATAGCATTAAAAAAGCAGAAAATATACATGTTGAAATACCAATTTACAGTCAACTAAATATAAAGCAGGATATTATATATACATACAGTTTGTAATGAATTCAGAATCATAATCAGAAATCCTTTATTTGTTACAGAGTGGGGACATTTACTTTGTTTACAGCAAAGGTACAAATCAGATGAGTTGAAAAATATAATAAAGAAGCAAGCACACTTTAATAAAGTCGAATCCAATAAGTACACATTAATGGCAGCATTATGAAAAGTAAGTAGACATAAAAGTATTGAGGTAGCAGCGAGCACCAACATACAATGTGAAAAGTGTACAGTATATTGAACAGAGCACAGTTATCTCTCAATAACAAAGTGCATTGTGATACGAGCCATTTTTAATCATGCTACATGAAAACGAGGGGAAGGTCAGGGTTAACTGAGGTCAGGCACATTCTTATGACAAATACTAATATGTATTGCTCTTTGCATTCATTTGAATCAATTTAAGATGTCAATTCCATCAGGATTTATTCCAGGGCGAACCGGCTGCTGGTCGTAGTTGTGTGTGTGTGTGTGTGTGTGTGTGTGTGTGTGTGTGTGTGTGTGTGTGTGTGTGTGTGTGTGTGTGTGTGTGTGTGTGTGTGTGTGTGTGTGGATACAGGAGTTACAGGTATGGTGCTGTGAATTTTCATTTCCATTACTCGAAAGAATAGTGCCCTTACTTTCCAGGCATCTAATATTTTCCAACACAAGCCGTTTTGTTTCCAAAGTCTTTATATATATATATATATATATATATGGTATGATTCTCTCTTGATTGACTATATGACATTTTGGTACAGAAGTTAGCAGCAGTTAGCGTTATGCTGTGACTGTTCACACCCTGCTGTTGTTTGATTTAGTGCAGTAATAACATGCTCATTCAAAGTGAGGAGGAAGATTTCTCCACAACATCCCGAGTGTTGTGAAGGTATCATCAGATTTTCAAGTCAAGTGTTACATGTTATATTTCCATAGAAATCAATAGCAGTACCTACATGATAAAATCAAAAAGAACTAGGTAACTTAGAATGAATAAACAAACAGTTCTTGCTTAAAATATATGCCCAAAAAATTGAAAAAAGTCATAAATTATACATTTAAAATATCATTTAAAATGTTCTAATATTTAAAAAAATGTAGTTTATAAATGTAGCATATACAATACTGTATACTGATGTATTAATAAACTATAATAATATATAAGTGTAGTGTATTACGTTACACTAACTAACGAACTGTATTCATACTGTAATGTAAAATGTTTCCTTGAAATACCCTTTACAGGAAATACAAATTGACAACAATCAGAAATCAGGAGGGGGTCTTATTAGAATTCCTGGGGTCAGCAGCCTTGGGATGCCTTCAACAATAACTAAAAAGCTAAATGTAATATCTGAATAAAAGGAAATCTCACACACAAAGGAGCTTTGAAAGGAGTTGCTTTAGCTGCGGTTGTGTTTCAATGTCTTTGGAACATTGCATAAAGGCCTATACTTCTTTTTTTTAATGCAATTAGAAGTGAAAGAAAAAATCTACAGCACTTTTAGGATGGGCAATGGACAAAAGGCCAATTTTTTCCTTTTTAAGGGAAAGTCCTTGGGTCTTTTTAAGTGCATCACTCCGCTAATTAAATATTATATGTTTAACGAAAAATGCACTTTGAAAGCAGCTGGATTGTTTGACTCAAAGACACGGGTGCAGCCTTGATGAGAGGAACTGTGTGCGACCGTGAGGCGGTAAAGAACGTCATTGTTGCAGCCCTCCATAACCCTTTCTGCTGATTTACAATCACTTCCCTCTTTGTGCCGCGCTCAAAAACACAGTTATACAGAGGAGCGGACTCATTGACATATCTGCTGCCTACATTTCTTTTCTTTTTTACAGTCTGATGTGTTTGTTTCATCGACTGCACACCAACGTATTGTCCTCAGTTTGAAAGGGTGTGAAGCACTAAAGCCCATTAGTTTGTTTATGAGACAAACAGAACAGCCTTGGGTTAAAACAACAGGAAGTTTGACGCTTATCTCAATTCCTCTCAAGTAGGAGAAGTACATAATGTAACAATTTTTTGTATGTAACAATTTTTTTTTAAATGACTGCTTTACCTGATTTGGCTTATTGATCAAAGTTGTTTTTCTTTAAAAAAAACGTTGTGTTTAATCTAATAAATCGATTTTATGTTAGGTAGTTAACGGTGTTCTTAAAGGTGGGGTAGGTAATTTTGGAGAAACCAGCTCGAGTGCGCTAGAATTTGAAAATACACAGCCGGAAAAAATCTGCCACTTCCTTACAGAGCCCCTCCTCCAACACACACGAACGCGCACATGACCAATGAGGGCACGAGATAAGTTTGTGCACAGATGGAAGGCTGACAGGCAGGTAGGCCATCCAGTTATTTTAGCCGGGCCAGTTAAAATGATTGGTCGTGCTTTTTACAGTACCACGGCTTCCACAGATGACATTTTTTTATGGATTTTTTGTCAAAGCACTTAAGATATTCATTGCTATCGGGATGTTAAGAGCATTCCCTTTCTTTATGGGGGGGGGAGTGTGACGACCCCTCCACACCACTAGGCGTTCCGTGGTCTCTCTCTCTCTCTGTTTACAGGATCCGGTGCTGTGGGGCCGGCGTTTACCTGATGAGCTGCACCTGGGTCGAAAAGGCCTACAAGAAGAGAGCCCAGCCGGATACGTCTCTCTCTCTCTCTCTCCTCTGGGCACTCTCTCCGTGCCAGCCTCGGGGACCTGTTGCTGGTTCCATTTACTTATTTGTTTATTAAGAATAAACGATTGTTATATTCTTACCCCTCGTCTCGCCTCCCTGCTTTTTGTTGCAGCCCAGGAGCCGGGTTGTAACACTGCTCACAGTTTCTCCACTTACGTAATTCTAATATGTTTTGGAGAGGAAATACAATGATGCATTGGTTATGTATGATTGTGATGCAAAATAAGCACCCTGTTTAATCTGTTTTGGCAACTTACTTTTAAGACAAAATGGATTAAAAAATGACATTGTGAGTATCTACTTATATTGCAAATGGGGCAAACTATGATTCAAGAACACTACTTAGGTGAGACTTCTAAAGAGACCCTATTATGCTTTTGGGGTTTTTCCCTTTCCTGTAGTGTGTTATAGGTTCTAGTCTAAAATCCCAAAGTGTCTCTCCCCGCCCCATCCTGAAACGCCTCCATTGGACAATGAGCATGATACATCCTCTTTAACTCTCCCTTGTTTCCCTGCATTATCTGCTCCTGGCAAGTAAAGCCTTATTAAGGACTTCAGGATTATGTTTGGGCAACTCAAAGCACTTGGTGAAGGTTCTGGAAATATTGTGGTAACGGCGAATGCATCTCAAGGGTGGGCAATCGAAGCACTTGGTTATGTTTCGAGAAGGTTGTGGTCTTGATATTGAATGTGGATTTAAAGGATTAGAGAGTTGAACTAATGAGCATTGTCTGCCATCCAATATAATATTACAAGGTCTCAATACTTCGCATTGGAGCAACATGTTTCCAGAGAACATAATCCATGTGGAATTACTTCAGTGTTTTAAGATGAATTAACTTGATTTACGTTTCAAATGTATTTATTCAGGAAAGAAATTTACAAAATGTTTTACATTGTAGTTCCCCATTTATTGAATATCTTCTTAAGACATTTCTAAAATCATATTATTACAGTATATACACTGTACATAGTTCATTAGCATCAGACACTGATCTGCATTTAAAATACACATCTGGTCAAATGAACAATGTACAACAGATAGGGCGATGATACAAGATGTTCCCATAGTCTCAGGCTATAGTGTAAAAAGCAATTAATACATTAAGAACATTATTATAGTTATATTGTTCTCTACAATTACATTTCAGCTGCAGTTCATTGAGATATGTCAGTTTATTTCAGTTGATTATAGTCAGAATTATAGTGAAGTAGCACGAGTATACCATTAGTGTGTGTGCCTTGTTCAAGCAACAGGACTTTAGTAAGCAACAATGCTTTTTTCTAACATTTTGTTACTCTTTTTCTTGTCTTTTAAAATCAGGACACATGTGTGACTTCATATACTGCTCAACAGACATAAAAAAAATCTGAATAAAATACAATTTAACACTGTCTTTATAGGCTGTTTTAACACTTAAAAAATGAATTTAAAGTAGATGTTTGCAGTGTAACCGTAGGATCTGTCAGTAACCTTAAAGGTAAATAAAAGTAGCTTATAACATATCCCTAGAGATAATGCATTAAAATAATGTACGGCTTGCTACAGTAAACAAGTGAAAAGGAAACGGATCTGTGGCGCACGCTGGATAAAAATGAAAAACAACCCTCTTATGGTTTTTATGATCAGGCTCAGTTTTTGTGGCTTCATGCGCCTCGGCTAAATGTGGGAACAATTAATGTGCTTCTGGCAGCGTCTTCATCTCAGGTCGCCAAAAAGGCTTATCGGCATACTGACTGTGGTAAAAACAAATATTTTAAAAATCACAGTGATAGCAAAACATGTTATCTCACACTCCAGCCTGAAATAACTAACAGTGAGGAGCACGTCTCTAAGGTCGGGACTTTGGTCACTTCTTCTCGGATTTACAGAGAAAAGAAACGGTACGCCTGATTTGAAAAAAGGTTGGTCCGTTATCTTTTAATTCTAGATTATTTGCAATCCAAAGTATTCTTCTTTCTTCTCAAAGTAGTAGTTGAGTCGTGCGGTGGCATATCTGGAGGAGAGCAGAAAGAAATGATCAGGAAACACAACCTTTTTTTATCCAAGATCTTAGTCCTTGGATGAATACTGTATGCTGCTAGTCAAAATGTAATGGCTTTTGTGTGTGACACATACTCTTGTTGTATTATTATAATCGTCCTGTCTCACTTTATCTTTCCTTTTTGTTTTAAATAAAAACAAATACATCTATTTTTAAAGAGGCTCTTTATTCTTTTTGAGGTTGTCCCTTTCCTGTAGTGTTATGTTTTAGTGCATGTAAATGGTCTGCAAAGGCTAAAATCCCTGTGTTCCCTCCAGAGGGAGTTTCTCTCCCACACACTCCCTCCCTGCCTGAAACGCCTCCATTACGTATCGTCCACATGGTTCCGTCGCGTGCTTCAACGGAGACGCTTCCCATCCACTTTGAATGGGGGGACGTCACGCTTTGCCGAACTGTATTGTGGTTCGTCGCTTTGCCTCCGTTGCTCGCTTAGAAAGTTGAGAAAGGTTCAACTTTTCAAGCGTCGACGGAAGCGCCAGCCAATCAACTCATATGCCAGCCAATCAAACCGCGTGCTTGTGTGTCCGGGGCGGGAGATTAATGTGATTGGTTGTTGGTCGCGCGCCAGACACGCCCACCGGCAAGCTTCAACGCGACGGAACCGCCTGGACGATACGTTAGACTCCTTTGTTTACTTCCGTAACATAGTGACATCACTATGTAAAACTTGCACTTCTATTGGCTCGCGCTCCAACACATTGTACGTGTTAGGCAAAGGGGCGGGACATCTCTAGCTGGTTGACCAATCACAACAGAGCCAGCCAGCTAACCAATCAGAGCAGTCTGGGCTCTGGTTTCAGACAGAGGGTGAAAAGAGGTGCTGCAGCACAGGCAGTATGAGAACAATAAAGAGCTTTTTGAACATTAAAGCATGGAGACATGTCACAGAAGAGGCACTACATACAAATAATGGGGCGGGACCTCTCTAAGCGGCTGACCAATCAGAACATTTTTAGTGGGCCTTAAAACTACAAAAGTAAGGCTCTTTCTATTCTCGAGCACATTACTCTCAGTTTGTATTGCCAATAAATTCCACATTTGCAAAATAAATGGAATTTGAGCATAAAAGTTTTGCTTCAACAGCCTTTCATTTTCTGCTTTGAGAATCATTCGGAAACTTCCTTCATGAATTGCATCCGAGTAAAAAAGGCTCTGTCCATTTCAAAAGGTAGTAGTTTTAAAAACCAATTGAAACTTTACTATTTTTACTCAAATATGAGGATGTATTCTTTTGGCCAGGTTGACCATGAGGCTTGTTGAGTAAAAGGAATAATAGATCAAGGATGAATTGATTTGAAGTGATCGGACACAGATACATTATTAGATCTGGACAACGCTTTAAAGCCTGTAAGAGTTTACGCTGCAGATCTATATCAAGGTTATAAATGCTACTTTTACTACGTTGCACTTCTTGAAAAGTTGGCTATTTAAAACCACACTGTTGTACTTGATACAAATAAGTATAATAATATAATAACATACTGTAGGAAAGCGAGTATCAGAGGGCTGCTTTAAATCCAGTGAAAGGAAGAAGTATCGATGCACTTCAAAAGAAGACACTCAATAGATTTCTGTCAACACATTTATACAAATATCACCTTCCAACATGAATGAGACTCGTTTGGGTATAAATATGAATTAAGATCATTTAAAGTGGACCTATTATGCTATATTGGAAACATATATTGTAGGGCCATACCTATACAAAACATCTCTGTGAAGTTTTTTGCTTAAAATACCAAACAGATCACCCATTGTAGCCATGCCTCATACTGCTCATACCCCTCTTTTGCAGCCCTGTTAGAGAAACGCGGATTTTGAGGCGGTGTCAGTACCATATGTGTTCGCCCTACCATATGTGTTCGGGGTCTGTCGCTTACCAATGACGTCACCCATTGTGATTAGCTGTACGGTAATCGTAGTAATCAGCAGCGAACCGCTTCAACACGTGTATTTCGGTGTATTCACGGCATTCATTTTGTTATTCTACAGTATTGTTGTTTTATAGTTATTTGTTAATGTAACCCAATTTGTGTTCTTTGAAATTGAAAAGGATATCGCATTGTGTTTGTTACTTTCGTTGCAGTTGTATATGTCTTAAGTGTAATTTGGCATGTCCTATTTATGGACATGCTTTTATTTTGAAGGAGAGTTAGCGCAGTTGACAGGAAGTTGTTGTTGCTTTGGAAACAACGTGACAGAGATTAACGGAGAAAAGTAATATCTACATATAAAGACGGAGAAAGTAAACGATAACGTTTATGGTTAAGTGTTAGTACCCCCCGAAGAGGCACAAGCTCTTACGTTGATATTGGAGATTTCAATCAATTCAATTTGAAAAAAAAACAGGGAAAAAACAAACAAAACGAATATCTGAATAACGAAATTGAAACCCGAATAATATAATAAAGTTATAGTAAATAATAACAAATTCCAGTGTTAGAATTCCATAATTCCATATTCATAAATAAAATGATATGCAAATAACATTTTCTTGGCTGTGGACTTGTACTCTACATAATTATGTTGAGCTCATGGTAATCTAATTCAATAAACAATAACTGCAATGAACAGATAGCATTTTCTGACTCGTAAAATGATTGGATATGGTGTAATTTGGTAAATGATTCTGTGTTGAAAAATGTATATCTTTAAAAACTGTGTTGGTGTATTAGGGCGGGCCATACTAATTTTTCTTGTAAATCGATCGAGAGGGGTGTTCAAATAACGTATTTTGGTGTGTAGAACACAAATCTATTTAGATGCTTTTATTTTGAAGTTGTTGCTATGGAAACAACATGACGGAGAAAAAAGTAATATCTTCTACATATAATAACGGACAAAGTAAAGAATGAAGTGTATGTTTAAATGTTAGCACCCCCCGAAGAGGCTCAAGCTCTTACGTTGAGTCTGGAGTTTCAATACATTCGGAATTTGACCGTGTAAAATGTCCTCTTGGGTTACCGTACAGCAATGCGTGACGTCATTGGTAAGCGTAACGGACCCCGAACACATCTGGTAGGCCGAACACATATGGTACCTACAGCGGAGCTAATGCCTGATCAGAATTCTACCGGAGATAAAGTTAAATTCTGCTGTGATAAAATGCCATCCTGTTCTAAACCACATCAAGGATTATTTCTGAAACAGTATGGAGCTCAAATGCCTTTTCTCTTGCGGGTTTATCACAAGGTGAGTTCCTTTTTTTATTTCCTGCTTTTTAAACACATGTGCTCTCTAGTACAGGTTAGCTCTGAGTGTTAGCGAGGCTTGCTAATGTAAACAAAGACCATATTACGTCCAAAACACGTCAGGCATTGTTTCTGATAGCAACTCTCTGTGGGTCCGCCGCCGATATGACGTCATATCGGCAGCAAATCTGTATCAGCTCGTTGTACCCCCGTTTTTAGAGATTTGGGTACGGAGGAAAAGAGAGGGTTTTATTTTCTGACGCTGCGTGAGTTCCCTGACACACCGGGGACACATATTTATGTATAAAATACATCAAAAAGTGCATTTTGCATGATAGGTCCCCTTTAAGTTATGCCCATTTGTAACTCTGATCTTTTTAATATAAGGGTCATAACAGGATAAATTGTTAGTACATGCCAACTAAACAACTGCAGATTAGAACAATTCGTTGTAAAGTGTGAAATACTCTAGATTAGCCAGAAAACATCATTATGACCTCATAGGGTTGTTATCTCTTAGACTTGAAAATGTTTTTCAACTGCTCTTACGGCTCGAATAAAATTGCATTACCAATGCATTTTACTTTTTTGTATTATATGACAAAAGAAAGTGTAGTTAAAGGTGGGGTAGGTAATTCACTTCAGAAACACTTGTTATATTCCATGGAAAGCTCTTAACATCCCGATAGCAATGAATACATTAAATGCTTTGACAATAAATACATAAAAAATGTCATCTGTGGAAGCGCTGTAAAAAGCACGACCAATCATCTGAGCCGGCCCGGCTAAAATAACTGGATGGCCTACCTGCCTGTCAGCCTTCCATCTGTGCACAAACTTATCTCGTGCCCTCATTGGTCATGTGTGCGTTCGTGTGTGTTGGAGGAGGGGCTCTGTAAGGAAGTCTGAAGGAAGGGGCAGATTTTTTTCGGCTGTGTACTTTCAAATTCTAGGGCACTCGAGCTGGTACTCGCACTTCTCCATTCTTACCTACCCTACCTTTAATGTTATAATAATTAATGTATTAAATGAAATACTCAGATTTTAATTGAATTGAATGTTTGTTTTAGGTTTGTTGCATATCGTTCACTGAATATTAATAATATTGGCTACAGTAAGCAATAACTATTATTACAAACAGATGTACAAATCTGTAAGTAAATGTACTGAATGTACCTGAATAAAAAGGTTTGCAAATGTTAAACTGATCTGCAAATGTATCATCAACTATTTAGCAAATATTAAACTGTTAATTGATTGATTTCTGTAATTTTGTGTCTAACACTTTGAGACAATCTCCCCGATCGAACGTTTTGCACTATTTTTTTACAAATTACACATTTGAAAAATGGGTTGTGTATCCGTTCACACAAATAGTATTGAGAACAAATTATCTCCTTATAGAAAATAAGTTGTTATTGTCATTGTTGTATGAAGAATCAGGCCCCTCACCATCAGAAAGCCTAATATAAAGGATTCAGACCCTGATATTAACATAAAGATAAGCTCCTCAGATGGGGATGAATACACAACACTGTTTCTCCGGTGTTACCCAGCAGGCCATGCTTACAGCTCAAGGTGGGCACCAGTGTCTTTGTTAGCACAACTTGCAAAACAATACAGCATCAAGTGTTGTTTCAATAAAGCACTGAGTCTGAAAGCTGTGCCAAAGCCTCAGAACTTAACTGAGAGAAAAAGTGGTTTTGTATTTTTCAAACCATATTATCGAACGCTCCAATAAATCTGATGTCTGAGTATGCT